ATTAGCCAATCAGCAACCAAGGTAACCCCCCCCCCCCCACTTATCACCTGCATCTCCTCCTAGAGCACCATTGTGTTCTTTTTAACCAAATCTCTCTCAGAGGGGCGTGGGGAGGGGCTCCTTATTTTCATCTAAAGTAACAGACAGAGAATCAGCACTTTTGAAACAGGGCTGAAACAGAGGGGATCATGGGATGCTGCAATGATCTGTTTGGTGTTTGGAGCCAAACACTTCAGAGACATGTTTTGTATATATCTGAGACCTATAATATATTGATGAAAAACAGTATAATAGGGGACCTTTAAATGTCAAACTGGAGGGAAACCGATTACACTTCAAGATGAGTTCCTAAACAAAGCAATAGTTTAAATTAAGTTATCACCCACTCTGATAGATGACAGCCCATAAAATGACCTCTATCAGTAGTTATTACACGGATTAGTGGAATACTCAATTCTGATTGGTCAATTCGGACATTTCCGAGGTTATTAATACTCGATAACACACTAAGCTAAATAATGACCATTGCTGCGGAGGATCAAGGGAGAGATAGAAAGGTTCAAAGACTGAGCGTTGGACGTCAGATAAATGAACAGAAGAGGACAGAAAGGAAGTTAACACCAACAGGAACAGGGTATGGACTCATGGCATTGTTTAGGGATTTGTCAAAAAAAGGAAAACAGACTTGGACAGTTTCAGAAAACCTCGATCAGTGCTGCCGTTCACTTTAAGTTAAGTTGTTGTTGTCGCATTTCCAGACGATGGTGCGCCGTGGAACAGAGTTTTTTTTCTTCGCGGAAGCAACACGATCATTTTGAAATCAATAAAATATTTTCAATTAATATTGGGAGTCGAGTTGTTAGTTTATTTAGTATGTATCGGGTCTTTTTTCAATAATGACGGCCTCGCTGCAAATGTTCCCTTACTCACACCATGGTTCCTCATGTAATATGTGCAAAAACATTGAATGCAACAACATTTCCTCACATTGATGCTTTCCAATACCAATAGAAAAAGGTTTTGACCTCTAGCGGCTGTAGTCATTTTTAAGAGAACAAAAATCAGAGCGAGTTTAGTTAAACCCAAACCAAGAAGAAGCAGGAAGAGCCTGGTTCTCAAAACATTAGCATTCAAATCCTTGAAAAGGAATTTCTTGGGGTGCGGATTGAAATGAAGACTTTGACTGTTCATAACGTTGGACGTGCATCCTCTGGCCTACTAGTGGTTGAAGTTTGACCGTTTCTGAAACATTAGAGTAGTAGTGAAATAAAGTGGCCATTCAATCGCCTGATGAACTCAGAAACTAGTGAAAGATATCCATCTAAAACAAGCATTTACATGTTATAACATTTCTTGACAATAAGTGCTTTTCCACTGAGGCCGTGTCAGGGTCTGGTATGGAGCCAAAGACAAGTTTAAACCAGTTTTTTTATGCTTCGTTAGCAGAGGCACCAGCTCCCGGTTCTTAAACCAGGGACGCTGAGGCTTGATTTTACAAGATCAAAAACACTTGATACAAAGTTTGGAGAAGAGGATCAGAGCTAAATCCCAGATCAAAAGCACGCTAAAGGGTCTGTGAGCATGTTTCTCTAGTGATTGTGATGTTATGTTAAACGTGTGTTTTTTGATATTTGTCCATGTTGATGTTGCAAATGGAGCTGCTGTCAAATTTCAGACTTGATCTGACCATTAAAGTATTATCGTATAGTATAAAGTCGTTGGAAGATGTGTTGGAAGATGTGTTAAAGGACTGGCTTATCTAAAGCCAGTTGAGTAGCACTTGAAATGTTTTGGCTCGATGAAACCTGATGTACTTATATGATTCTGTTTTCTTCAAGTTTGTATCTTGTTGGTCGAATGCACTTATTGTAAGTCGCTTTGGATAAAAGCGTCAGCTAAATGTAATGTAATGTGTTTGCTCCTAATCTCGCTCCTAAGAATAAGAGCAACATGAGCACAGGGAAAGTCACGCTACCATTGCTGGGAAATGCAGGGACTTCCATAGTGATGTCATGACGCAGCGCCTATCAGGCTCTAATCTGTGGAAAAGCTAACGGGTTCCCAAGTTAAACCAACAGTGAACGAACACTAGTCCGTTTACATTACTCAACAGGAACTAATCTAAGTGGAAAAGGAAAGTAAAGTAGCAAAGTTGTTTAAAGCCATTTCCATGACCAAATGTTTTAACCGTCACATTTGAAGTCATAATGTAACGTCTATGTCCTTAACACATGACTCATTATGTGTGAGGAGGAATAACCCTCCATATTTTTGGAGACTTTGTTTCATAGTGTAGGCTATACAGTGGAAAACCTGGCGATGGTCTCGTAGACTAGAAACAGTTCCTTTGTCTGACATTTCATGTTTTTTCTCATGGGCAACAGAAGAGCTGTAGGGTGACTCAACAGCAGCATTGGCTCTCTTCACGTTGACAATAAAATACTCAAAAGATCGCTGTAATAAGTGAGTTACTCTGTGGTTATTAGAGGGATTTTCCGTGTAACAAAGAGCCAAGGAGTTTGCTTTGTGGCATTTTAAATGTTGATTAATGGCACTAACCAACCCTGTCTCAAACTGAATTATGACATTTCTTTCGAAGGGAAGGTTATTTCCCAGGGATCGTGGACACAGTTTTAGAAAGATCAGGTTTGACACTTTTGGTCTTCTGGTTAAAAATCATGTTTTTCTGTCCCTTGAATCGACTTCCTCCATATGTGAACTTCCATGGACTTTGATTAGAAGCTTATCTGTTGCTCAAGACAAAATAGGTTTCCCTCAAAACGTAAATGACAATGCATTTTCATTGTGTGTGAATGTACTTATTGGGAAACAAGGATGCATTAACGGCATTATTTTTGACTTAAAGGTGGGGTAGGTAATTTTGGAGAAACCGGCTCGAGTGCGCTAGAATTTGAAAATACACAGCCGGGAAAAATCTGCCACTTCCTTACAGAGCCCCTCCTCCAACACACACGAACGCGCACATGACCAATGAGGGCACGAGATAAGTTTGTGCACAGATGGAAGGCTGACAGGCAGGTAGGCCATCCAGTTATTTTAGCCGGGCCGGCTAAAATGATTGGTCGTGCTTTTTACAGTACTACTGCTTCCACAGATGACATTTTTTTATGGATTTTTTGTCAAAGCACTTAAGATATTCATTGCTATCGGGATGTTAAGAGCATTCCATGGAATATAACAAAAAGTGTATCTCGAGCCGGTTTCTCAAACTTACCTACCCCACCTTTAAAGAGCGCCATTTGGACTGGCCTACACAGAGGGAAACACTCAGCATCTCCTCAGTGAAACTTCTCTGCTGCCAACATTAGAAACCTGTGGTTGAGGAGGCCATATAGCTGTGAATGTGCTTAAATGTTGATCAAAAAAAGAGTATGTGTCACCGAACAAACTTTCCCTGTAAAAAAAAAAGCAATAAAAGATATGTTTAGACGTGCTGTGGTATAAAAATGTCTGACTTTCTGTGCTGCTCTTTCAGATATGTTACCATGCAACAACTGATTGACATGAGTGATGGTGAGTAAACCTGATGTTTCTATTTCATCTGTGTGCAGCTGCTGAACAAACAGCAAGGCGGCAAATAAGCACAAAATTAGAGCAAATCGGCTGCTAATACTTTCCCCTTTGAGGATGTGGAGGGTAAGTGTGCGTCAGTGAGTGCAGCAGCACACAGCGAGTATTTACACCTCTGAATAGAGTTTGGTGGGAGAAGGTGGGGAGACACGCCTTTCCTCAACCTCAGGCCAACATGTTTAACTTTCAGCTGAAAGCACACAGACACCAGCGGCACACACATGTGGCAGTATACTGTACGCATACCGGAGTGGGCGCACACATGCAGGCAAACACGGGCTCACTCAAACATGCCTCTAGATTTTTGGGCTTTTTTTTGTAATTTAAACAAACAACAAAATACTAAAAAATTGCATACAGCTCTCAGTATGTTTTTAATACGAAAGAGGATAAGGGACACGTGACTTTTCTCATGAGATTAGAGTCAGAATTCTGAGAAGAAAGTACTGTCTAAAGTACAAATGTGACATACTTGTATTGAGTATTTCGACTTAAATAATACACACAAGATGGATGCTCTCTACTTTGCAGTGAGTGCCATTTTCCTGTCCTTTCCTTGAGGGGTCTATGGGATGTAACTGGGTTGTAAATGACATTGTTATAAAGGCCAAGTGCCATTAACTTCTTAATCACACAGATGCAATTAGTGTCACTTAGAGTCACATGACTTCCACTTTAATCATAGTGGGGTTAGACATTTGAAACTTTAGAATCAATGTGACAACATGAAATAAAACTTGACTCATGACCTCTCTTTGACTTGAGCTTTTCGTCTTGAAAATACCTCAACACTAGCCTAAAAATCATAATGTATGCTATTTAACAAGGTGGGCTATGAATCAATGAATTCCCTTTGTACTTTAAGGTTCGTTCCTGAATTACACAAACACCTTAACTATATTAATTCCCTCTTAATTGAGTCAACACTTTCCCCAGATCCACTTAGCATCAGTCATCCAATCAAGTTGTAGGAGAGAATCAGTTGGAAAAAAATTATACCAAAGATAATTCCTGCTGCTTTGTAACAGACAGTTTATATTATTACACAAAAACTCATGAATTGATACTAAATCATTACTAAAACATATCTTAATAAAGCGTATATACCAATACTCCAAGGAAGCAGGGTTTAAAGACAGAGGGAGCTTATGTAAAATAGCTTCATAAATAAATACAAGATACATGATCTGACATTATCCAGGAGCAACGAGAGTCCTTCCTTTATTTTAAAGTTGTATCTTCAGGTTTGATAGTGAAGGCTGTGTGTGACCTCACCAACAGGCAGGGTCTCTCTCTCTCTCTCCCTCTCCCTCTCTCTCTCTCTTTATCTCCCTCCCTCTCTCTTTCCAACATCTAAATGTGTGCTGTAGTTTGAATAAAGCTTCTTTCTGCTCTCTTACTCAGGCAGGAGCAAGAGGCCCTGGAGTCGCTGGGAGATTTGGAGCATCAACGGTACGTTTTCCAACTCACCTCCGGAGTCCCTAACAAGGAATACTGTGAAGGTTTTTACACTTTGACACTTCTTCATCCTCTGATTGGGGGACAGGTATTGTTAGAGGTGCTGTACTCAGGTGTCAAAGCAGAGATGTTTTTGGCTGAAGTTCATTTATTTTATATTAAGCCGTTCTGAAGTCGGGGATGTTAATGATAAAGATGCATGGATATTGCAAAGTTAGCTCCTGTGCTCATGATGCTGTGCTGTTGTGATTTGGTTTGGTTTGGTTTCTGAGTTTTGCCGAGTTGACTTGATGTGCTGCTGGGTCACTGTTGATGGTTTATTTGTTACGTTTATGTCATGGCACTGTGATTTATAGAGTGTATTGTGGCAAAAATAAGAGTTTAACGGCAGAAAATGTGTATAATTGTATGTAGAAGATGAATTATTTAGACGTATGTGCTAGTGAGTTTGCACTAGGGAGACCATGAGAGTGGCACGTATGAAATTACATAAAGTAGTCATTCAGTGTCTGATGTATAACAATTTTAACAACTTTACTTAAAGAGTAATTTAGTTATTTCTAGAGGGTTGAAAAGATGAAATTGCCCAGTAATTCACAACCAAACAAGCAAAGACTAGAGGAAAGGAAATGAAAACTATTTTGTGTAACAGAGATAAGTTTTTCTACTTCTTCGTCTTATATTCATATTTCATATTTCTAACGCCACCGTTAGTGGGATCAGATGTGATTGGTACTGACAATAGTTTGTGGAAAGAGATACTGAAATGTGCAAAAGCCCACACAAAACGTAAGTTATTCCAGCCACTTCAGCCTGGCTCAGTGTTGCGGATTGCTACTGTGGAAAATACAGAAATGTGACATTGTCAACTAGTTTCAAACAAGCCACACTTCAAGTTTGAAATGAAAAGACGGGAAAGCAAAGGAAATGTTTCTTCAAAATGAAATAGTGAATTTAGCATGTGACAGGTAGAACACTGGGTTTGATTGTTGGGATTTCTTTTTGCATTATGGGAAACTACTGTCAAGAGTGACTGTTGCTATGGTAACATTGGGCTGTTGGAGCACATGTGGAGAATAGTAATTTTCAGACGTTGAAAAGGAGAATTGTCGAACACCGAGTTAAAAGCAAATATCTTTACACATGTAGAGGTATCTGTTATACAGTCATAGCAAGTGTGTGTCGTCTCATATATGACACATTAGGCTGATGTGCACATGCTGCTGAAGCACATCTTTGTATGCAGTCTTGTACTAATGCCCTCATAAGCACCTGCCAATATGAAATGTTCCCCCAGCTAACTGTACAAGAGTGTGTGTGTGGGTGTGTGTTCTCAAACACAGGCCTTACAGTATGTGTCAATAGCGACATATGCACACACACTCCGATGCGTTTTCTGCACCAGGGGCTTTTGGACGTGCGCTCTCACACATCCCCACGGTAATCTATGAGTGTAGGTCTGTGTTCCTGTGTGTGTGTGTGTATCAATGTCAACTCTGTTCTCCTGCTGAGGGGCTCTAGAGGGTTGGGGGGGGGGGGGGGAGGAGGTGGTGAAGCTGCCCTGGATGCCCGACTTGTGTTTACCTTGGCAGGGCTGCACCCCCCCGGTCCGCTGCAGGAACAGACCAAGGCCTTATTGCCCCCTCCCCCCCCCACCTCAGCTGGAGCGGAACATACCACAGCGGCCGAACGGGGGAGTTTGCAACCACCCCGCAGACTGAATGGACTCACTGTGAGAGGGAGAGGGCTGCTTGGCTTTACCTGGCTCCTGAATGCCTCGTGCACGTTATGAAGTGGCCTCAGTTTAAAGCAGGGGTGTCCAAACTTTTTTCACCGAGGGCCACATACAGAGAAATATACGAAGGGCTGGGCTGCTCACTAGAGGTATATTGCCTCATAAGTTCAGTTATAAGTTAGCAAAATCAATCAAATGTAGGTAAATAATGTGAGTGTTGGCAGCTCATCCCTTAAAACAGAAGCCTCAGATTGATTATAATAAGGAGAAATAGGAAGGGTGTAGTTCAAGCTTGTTATGTAAATAAGTCATTGGGCTTTTTTCTTCAACTAAGATATGTTAGAAAATGTTTCCAACTTTAATTGACTGAATTTATTTGAAAAATATTCTTAAGAAGTACAATATAAGACAAGCAGAAGTTTCATTTGTGGGCCATATTCCATTATACTTTTTTAATTTGCTGAGGGCCGAGTCAAAATGGTCCGCGGGCCACAGTTTGGACACCCCTGGTTTAAATGATGCATTCAAAGAGTGTGTGCTCAGTGATGGGATCGTGACAGCAAGGAGACGTGGTTCTGGTTGGCTCGCTCTGAGATGTGGGGAGAGGTTTTTTTCCTGGCGTTCTCCGTGTTAATACATCATGAGAGTGCAGTTTGCTCGACTCTGACATAAGGCATTGTAATTCCATGTATAAGAACATAGTACTCCTTGTTTTTAGGCAACCAGAACCAGAACCAGTGCATGACACGTCCAACAGTACCGCCTACCAAATAATAATGTTATGTAAAAGAACATATGACTCATTGTTTTTAAGGCAGAAGTACAAACAGAATGACTGCTACAGAACAGAAAGCATTAATAATGTACTGCTAGATATCCTCTATGGATAACCATTATCACTTAATCTAAAAAGAAACATGAAACTCTAAACTTTTTGGAGACTTTTCTTGGCAAGTATTTGAGTTTTTTTCCTGACGTACTCTGAGTTAATATATCATGAGAGTGCAGTTTCCTTTACTCTGACATAAGGCATTGTAATTCCATGTAAGAGAACATAGTCTTTTTAGGCAACCACATCGACTAATACAGAACAGAAAGCAGTGACAGTTGGTAAGTGAAACTAAACACTAAGTAAACCTACGTACGTTTTCTTTCAAGTTAAAATAACTGTAGTGGAAACTGTACGTTACCTAGCAACAGTCTTGATAAACGCAACAAGCCTGAATGGACATGCTGTGCACGACTCGTCCAAAACTACCGCCTATACCAGAAATAATAAGTTGATGTAAAAGAACATATGACTCATTGTTCTTAGGCAGAAATACAACCAGAACAACTAATACAGAACAGAAAGCATTAGATAGACAACCATGACTTCTTTTGGCAAGTGTTACTCAATACCAGACTGAAAAGCCTGGTTTGACTGCATCCTCTCAGTTGAGTTAAGATGTACCTGGCCTGCTGTGGCTGGCTCACGAATGCTAGTGCACATAAGTGGCCAAAGTTTAAATGATGCATTTAAAGAGTCTGCTCAATTATCGGATTGTGGTTGTCTCGCTCTGAGGGTTTTCTTCTGGCTTTCTCTGTGTTAATACATTGTGAGTGACGTTCACTGTTTTACATAAACTCCCCTGTTTTAAAGTGGACCTATCATGCTATATTTGAATAATATAGTGTAGGACCATACCTATATAAGGCATATTTATACTTTTTTTTTTTCAAAATACCAAACAGATCATGCATTTTAGCCATGCCTCATTTTGCTCAATTTGACATTTTTTTAGCCCTGTTTTTGCAACGGCTGATTCTGTGAGAACAGCACCATCTACAGGCCTGACATATGTACTACAGCGTCTCCAGCGCTTTCGAACGGCAATGGCCGTGGCTGTCTCCTCCTGATTGGTGGAGTTGGCCCAATAGCCGTAGCGCCACTGTCCTGACGTCAGGACAGTGTTCAAATCTGGATCAGTTTTTATCAGATCCGTTGCAGCCCCTTTTTTAGAGATTTGGGTATGGAGGAAAATAGAGAGGGTTGTGTTTTCTGACACTTGGTGAGTTCCCTGGAACACCGGGGACACATATTCATGTATAAAAGACGTACAAAAGTGCATTTTGCATGATAGGTCCCCTTTAAACGGAGGCCCATCTTGACTCTGATATAACGCGGTGTAATTCCATGTAAAAGAAGATACAGGCAAAAGTACAACCAGAGTGACGAATACAGAACAGAAAGGATTCATTATTTACCCGTCCTTGAAACTCATTATCACTAACTTTAGGTGCATACTTTTTCTTAACAAGTAGCAAATTAGTAGTGTAATACCCGACTAAAAAAACAACCAAGTCTAGCTTCTGACTCCAATACTGACGCCTGATCAGTGCCCGTCGTCCTGTCATCCAATTCGTATCATTTTTGGATGAATAGACGTTTATACACAGCAAGAAAATCAGCTCAGGTTTGCAGGAAGAGTACGGATGGGTCAAACTGAAAATACATTCACCAAAAGTCACTTATTTTACTTTGCTTTTGTTAGGCGACTTCTGCAATTAACTAACAGCAGTAATGAACCAAGTGTTTTTGTTTAGCCGAAACAACAATCTTTTCCGAGGCTTAACCAAGTAGTTTTGTTGCGTAAGTAAACTTATAAATGTGTTAAACCTCGAGTTTTGTGTTTTGTTTGAATCCGAAGCCCATCGCATGTAACTATGGGAAACTGTACGTCCAAAACTGCCCCCACAGGGTAGAGTGTCATAGCGTTTGACAAAGCTTTACTGAGTTTGGAGTGAGTTCGGTTGGTTTTATGAACATGATGGGTTTGATTGGATGTGGCCAGAACATTTGGAACCACACCCACCAGTGACGCCATGTTGAACTGACACACCCTGAAGAACACTTCTACCTCAATGCATGGGAGGTTGTTGATGGAAAGTGATCTGTTGAAAAAATAGAATAGTCCAATACAAAGGAATAAAAATAGTAATACCCAAAAACAACACAACATCAGTTATATTAAGTCATTGTAACGATGTTCCTGGGGTGGTCGGCACATCCTATAATGAAATATATAACAGTGAGTGACTACTTCAGGGTGGATTTGTCCGTATGTCTACATATGCTGTGAGGTATTTTATGTTTCCTCTCAAACTAAGCAAACATTCACTCTCAGACCAATCTGAGACAGCGGGGCAAATATTAGTCTTACTGTACGGGATCTGTGGAACTCTGAGAATGCTAGCAGCACACACACACACTCTTTCTAACACACACACACACACACTCTTCTTCAGGTTGTAGTATGCATACATATACAGCAATGTATGTCGATGTGCTACAGTGAAAACATATATGATCTTGTTTTTAATGCCGAGTCATTGAATTCAAAAGGTCAATGAATTTCTCTTTTAGCCTTTTGCCATGATGTCAACCGTCAGCTACTGCAAACGCTTTGTGACTCTTGGCTCCAGGTTTTATTGGTTGTAAATGTTTCTGTGTGGCAGTTTGAGGCTCGTGAACACAGCACAATGAGGGTTCAGTTGGGACTCTGAACGGTTTGGTACTTTTGGACTGCGCTGCACCGTGCAGTAACGGAAAACTGAGCAAAAACAAGCAAGCGGTAATCAGGGTTTCACAGATGAGGGTTTGTGATAGCGGAGGCCATGTTTTTAGACTGAAGTTCAGGATATTTAATGATATTTATGCTCAAACATGACCTAGTGACCGTATAAATAGATTAAAGGTGGGGTAGGTAAGTTTGAGAAACCGGCTCGAGATACACTTTTTGTTATATTCCATGGAATGCTCTTAACATCCCGATAGCAATGAATATCTTAAGTGCTTTGACAAAAAATCCATAAATAAATGTCATCTGTGGAAGCCATAATACTGTAAAAAGTACGACCAATCATTTTAGCCGGCCCGGCTAAAATAACTGGATGGCCTACCTGCCTGTCAGCCTTCCATCTGTGCACAAACTTATCTCATGCCCTCATTGGTCATGTGCGCGTTCGTGTGTGTTGGAGGAGGGGCTCTGTAAGGAAGTGGCAGATTTTCTCCGGTTGTGTATTTTCACATTCTAGCGATCTCGAGCCGGTTTCTCAAACTTACCTACCCTACCTTTAAGAAGATTTGAGTCTGCACTACAGTGGTGGACCAACCCAATTTTTCATCAACCATGCTTCTCCCATAGCTTGACAAGAATTGAATAAAAGGAAAGGACATAAACATTTAAACTTTGTATTAGATTTATTGTGGGAAATGTGGCTCATTGCATTGCAAGATAAACTGATGTTGGCAAGACGATGTATTCTTTTTCTAGTTTACAACCAAAAAGACACTTTATGCAAACAGACAAAGACACAACGAATAAAGTTGGAAAAAAAGCCTAATTTAAAATGTGTTTCTTCATTGGTTTTTAACAAATGGAAAGGCATTTGAAATGAATGACTTAAACTGAGTTGTATTACTAAAGAACGTTCCTCTGGCTGTAACAGAGGGGCTTTCATTCCTCAGTGAGCATGTATAGTATTTCCAAACGATACTACAGAGTCATGACATACGCTTTCCATTTTAGCCAATGGGTCTGACGTAATAACCAAACGCATTGAGTATGTCAGACAAAATGGAATATGAGAAAAAAACACACAGTGGCATTCAGGGGCAGAGGAAATGATGATGAACCCACCATAAACACAACACTAACTTCACTGTTCACTCAGTGCAGCCTTTCTGGTAAAGAGAAGTTAGAAAAGGTTGCATTAGTTTTAATTCCCTCAATATACTCTGTTTAGTCTTCCATTTCTGCAAATTAAGCCAATCACTCAGTAAGTGATCAAAAAAGGTCAAATGTCACCATACAAACTGGCTTTGAATGGCTTTGAGTACATTTGAGCTCTGAAGGTCTGAATAATTATGTTCTCTGTACACATTTGACTCATGTGTCGTCAAATGTTGGTATTTTTCAGGTAACGATGACCCCCCTGCTTCTGCTGTGTGTGTCCTTGCCCTTCATCGCGGCAACTGTAGTGTTACAGCTTGAAAACCATGACGGTAAGTGATGTTTTATTAGATCCTTAGATTACTATCCTTATCTATATCATCAATGTCTAACTCTAGAGTTTTGGGAACTTGATTTGAAGATTAGAAATGTACATGAAACTGTATTATAAAATGTCAGTTATTTTATTATAATCTGTGCAATTTACCATTTGATTACAATTTGATTAAGTTTGCTGCTGATGTCTGAAAAAGTCAGATTTTGTATCTGTTTATTTCCTGTTCGACCTACAGTTTAAAATGGGTTTGCCTCATTTCAACCCTTTTTTTTCAAGTTATTTTCTTACTAATTTACCAGCAATATTACCAAAAAAAGTCATGAGCAATGTTAGAGCAAAGTCATAATAAGTAGTCCTTTAAAATGTGTTATGGATCAGCAGTTGCTTATTTGGTGGATCACGTTAAACCATCGATAAACCAGCTCCTTCTTGTGCACATTTTCTTGAGCAAAACCCTATACTTTCTGTACTGTATATTAGTATCCTCATAAGCAAATTAAAAGACTAAACATTTTTAAAAAAGAGACAGCAATGTATATTGCATCCCTCCCCCCCATTGATTTCTTATTATTATTATTACTATATATATATATTTATTTATATTTATTTCCCTTCTATTTGATGTTTCTCATTGTAATGAAGCCACACCTCAGGCCATTATGATTATAATGTTTATTCTTATTAATTTTCTCTCTGTGCTTTTATTTAAGTAATTAAGCTGAGATATACATAGATATCTTGCTACATGATTAAGGTGAGGTTATTGTCACCCAGAGAGCGATGTGGTTATATGTGCAGTAACTATTCTGCACACATTTGATTATGTATGTGGTTGTATGTATGTATGTATGTATGTATGTATGTATGTATGTATGTATGTATGTATGTATGTATGTATGTATGTATGTATGTATGTATGTTATGTGTGAATGTTTACAAAAATGACAATAAAACGAGTATAAAAAAAATTAAAATAAAGACTAACAAATGATCTCATCCGTAGACATGGACGGCACGATGCGTGTCAGCATCCCCTTGGAGGTGCCTCTGCGTCCTCTGCTGGGCAGCAAGGTGGTCGTACCGTGTTACTTCCAGGACAACACAGTGAATGACCCCGGGGTCCGCACCGTGACCCCGCTCTCACACCGCATCAAATGGAGCTATGTCTCCAAGGAGAAAGTCACCACGATCCTGGTGGCGTCCGAGGGGAAAGTCCAGGTGGAGACGGAGTATCTAGACAGAGTGACGATGATCAACTACCCACTGGTGGCCACCGACGCCACCATGGAGATCACAGAGCTGCGGTCCAAAGACTCGGGAACGTACCGCTGCGAGGTGCTGCACGGCATCGAGGACAACTACGACTCTGTGGACATTCAGGTTCAGGGTACGTGTTGTTGTTCACTACGATATTAACGGTATTATCACCACATGGTAGTCAAACTGCTATCAGTACAGACAACAACAGCCCTTGCAATCCTCTCTCAAAGGTAATTTCAAACTACAAGTCAAAAAAATCATTTTACACCTCAAAAGAAAAGTTCAAACATGAAGTAAACAACAGAAAAAGAGAAGACTGGTTGCATTGTATACTCAACTGTAGATCAAACATGAGTTGGGCTGACAGGAGGAAGGCCATCTAATCACTCAATATTAGAACATGTAACAGCAAGGAAGGAAATATTATTAAATATGTAGTGGCAAAACAGTTAAAAGCCAACATCAAAACCACCTGAAAACCAGGTGTGGCCTCACTCTAGTACTAACAGCCTAGTGAAGGCAACCATATGACCTGAATATTGACATGATGAGTGAAAAACAGCAAAATAATAGATTTGTACCTATATTTATGTTTAGGACTATGTGTTGTTCTTATATTTTGAAGCGGCAAGATTGCCTTCCTATTCATCCTTTAAGACACATTTTTTGCAAGTATTGCCAAAACTTTTTTATACATTACTCGACAACTATGCTCTTAGTACACATGTCCACCGGGAAAAAACTTCTGTCAGAAGAGGAGAATATCAAGACCTTATCAAATTCTGCAGGATTAAACCTCTTGAGAAACCTCTGTTTGGTTGGCCATAAACCAATTTGTATGCCACATGACGGTCTTAACAAGCCCACTGTCTGATAAAGCTCATAGAAAAGAGCTCATCAAATTTGAATAATGATTTCAAAGTGTTCTCTCTTCACTCACTTTCCGTGTCCTACAGGTATTGTGTTCCACTACCGGGCCATCACCACCCGCTACAGCCTGACATACGAGAAGGCGAAGGCCGCCTGCCTCCAGAACAGCGCCACCATCGCCACCCCCGCCCAGCTGCAGGCGGCCTACGATGACGGATACCACCAGTGTGATGCTGGATGGCTCTCTGATCAGACTGTCAGGTACTGTCCATCTATCTATCCAACATCAGATTGGTAAACGTTCCTCTCGGCTCCCAGACCGTAGTAGAGGAAAACAGGGGAAGACTCTCTGCAGTCTTCCAGTGCCGAAGCAACAAACTTCAGATAGACAGACGAGCTCTTCTTTGGGAGGCCGTTGCATTTATTAAGGTCTTTGTTACAGATCTAACTTTGAAGACACTTGATAGACCTATTTTGATGCTGTTTCGTTCACTTCAAAACACATACCACCGCTCGCTCACTCTCGCTCGCTCTACCATGCACACACACATGCACACGCTACACCCCCCTCTCTCTCTCTCTCTCTTAAAGGGATAGCGATCTGACTCTGCATGACCCTAATATCATAACACAATTCTAAACCGCTTATAAGGATCAGTTCACCCTCAAACAAATACAGTCCCACTTACCGGAAATCTAAAGTTACTGACTCACCAAACCAGTTAGACTGTGGTGAATTGTTGCATGGGCCTGGTTGACTGATTGGGTTCGGGTTAGGGTTAGGGTTAGGGTTAGGGTTAGGCAATGTACAACTGGTTTACAACGACTCCATATGCAACTGACTGACCCCTTTAGTTTGTATGTTCTCCTTTTAAGAGAGGCAGTCGGATCAGCTAGTCCAATCAATTCAATGTTCCAGGCTTTAGTGTCTTTTCTATGTCTAACAAGGATAATATAAAAACAAATAACTTTAAAACAAAGTATGTCTGCTGACTGAAATCTCTCTTTACATCTGAAGGTATCCGATCCGTGAGCCCAGAGAGCATTGCTTTGGAGACAAGGAGGAATTCCCAGGCGTGAGAACCTATGGCGTGAGAGATGTCAACGAGACCTACGACGTGTACTGTTTTGCTGAGAAACTTTCAGGTACTGTCATCAACACGAATGATGTTTATCCAGTTTATTTTCCTCAGGTTTCCACAGTTAAACATTCAAAAGAACAATGGTTTTACATCCCCTTTTTCCCCTGGGAGAAAGACACGTGCCTCTCCCGTTCCCAATCACTTCTTCACCTGTTTCCAATGAATACTAAATCTCCTAAAACTACAAACTACAAGTAGCAACTGCAACAACTGCAAAGTAGTAATATGTGCTGCTCTTCAGGCCTTGAGTCTGGGACAACAAATAGCAACGGGCATTATTAATGGGACGTATTGTTGTAAAATGTTGGAGAGAAAGTTTGTTGCTAGCCTATTTAATGATTTGTACTTTCAAACAAAACGTTTAAATAATTCACGAAAAGTAATGTGAGACAGTGAAGGGCGGCAAGTACTGGAACAAAAAGCGCTCTAGTATTTAAAAGTTTCTTGATCTAGAACTGCTGCTCTGTAACGTAGTAGTGTTTTTAAAAATATATTTGATTGAAGACACAGAAAATATATTTGGTACATTGATAGGAACCACATTTACAAATGTTCAACAGTTGAAAGCTACTAGTGTTCAACTTAGTCTCTACTATTGTACATCAATTGACAAGCCATACATAGTTGATCTTCAATTGAAGGCGTACAATATTTAAACCACAATTATAACCAAAACATACCATGTAGCCAGAATGTAAGAGACTGTTGTACAGACTAACAGAACAAATATAATAATGTCTGTAATGCCTTTCTCCTCCAGGCAGGGTCTTCTACTCCATGTCTGTAGAAAAGTTTAGTTTCTACGAAGCAGGAGATCAGTGTAACAAACTGGGCGCTCGGCTCGCCAACACCGGAGAGCTCTACCTGGCCTGGAAGGACGGCATGGACGTGTGTAACGCCGGCTGGCTGGGAGACAGGAGCGTTCGCTACCCCATCAACATCGCCAGGCCTCAGTGTGGAGGGGGGCTCATTGGAGTGAGAACCGTCTACCTGTTCCCCAACCAGACAGGATACCCCTACCCAGACTCTCGCTATGATGCCGTCTGCTTCCAAGGTAAGTCCTTCATTGAGAAGAAAATCTACTGTTCAGTGTCGTTTAGGAGCGTCTTTTTTGAGGTTGTTTTAAAGGTCACCTATTATGCAAAATCCACTGTTTCCATGTCTCTTCTACATCAACATGTGTCCCCTCTGTGGAAAGAGATTCTGAAAGTTTCAGGAACAAAGATTCTCTCTCTTTTTGTCCTGATCCATTTATATAAAAACCTGTCTGAAAATTAGCTGATCAGATTTTGGCTACTTTATGATGTCATAACGATTTTTTGGCTTGTTAGCCAATCACCAACCAAGGTAACCCCCCCCCCACCTTATCACCTGAATCTCCTCCTAGAGCACCATTGTGTTCTTTTTAACCAAATATCTCTCAGAGGGGCGTGGGGAGGGGCTCCTTATTTTCATCTAAAGTAACAGACAGAGAATCAGCTCTTTTGAAACAGGGCTGAAACAGAGGGGATTATGGGATGCTGCAATGATCTGTTTGGTGTTTGGAGCCAAACACTTCAGAGACATGTTTGTATATATCTGAGACCTATAATGTATTGATTTAAAACAGTATAATAGGGGACCTTTAAGATAATGCTATTTTATGATGGGTTTCTGACTGTCCATTTCATCAAGCCATTATGCAATCTTGTATTCTCAGCTGGAGAGGATTCCAATGCTATTCCCGTGAGAACGACCCCTTTCCCAGACATTATCCGCATGACACCCCCCCCTGGGCCGCACCCGGGCTTCACCCCCTCACCGGGAGCAGAGGAGAGCAAGACTGGAGGAGTTGACACCTTGTTCGCATTGCCCATCCCACCTAGTATGACAGATGTAGATACTGCCATGGCTCCAACAGGTACGACAGCTATGTGATTAGATATGTGAACCCTAACCCTAACCCTTGATGATTGACAAAACACTTTGAAATAATTATTTAAACTGTTAGAGAACATTTCTGCAAAGGTGTAGCCTTTAGAGAGGGTTAAACCTTCACCTATTTCCCAAAACAAGAGAATATTCTCCATTGGCATCTGTGCAAGTTCCTGCCTTTTTATAATTACTTTTAAGTAATACAAGTTAAGAAAGAAGTTGGATTTACATTTTGAACGTATCTCAAAAAGGCCTTTTGAATGTGTGATGAACCATTCACACGACTAATTTGGAAACGGTGAGTGATAAAGTGAAGAAACAAATCTGTGTCACTAAGTTGAACTTGATGTACTGATGAAGCAAAAAGCTTGTTACCCTATCATATCTCACACTGCACTGTCACTTTTATTCATGTACCTTTGTTATTCATGTTTTATTATCTTTGCTTTTAAATGAGTTTCTTTCTCAAAGAAAACAACGACTGCAACTGCTTTCTTCCCTCCCCCTCCTCCTCCAGGTGTGGTGTTTCACTACCGTCCCATCACCGGTCGGTACACTCTGAGCTTCGTGGCGGCTCAGCAGGCGTGTCAGAGCGTCGGCGCGGTCATCGCCAGCGGCCAGCAGCTGCAGGCGGCCTTCGAGAAAGGTCTTCACCAATGTGACGCCGGCTGGCTGCGAGACCAGACTGTCAGGTGAGCAGGAGGCGAGGGAAAACAGAGATCAACCAATATATACAACATGTTTCCCATAATGGGCTGATTTTCATTTCATTTAATGATTACAGGTTTTTATTGAATAGCTCATCAAAATCCTTGCTGTTTCCCCAACATAATAGTTACTGGACTAGGCTTTTTACTGCAATTTAAAACCTGACAATGAGATAGGATCATCACAAAGACCATACTACTCTTGTTTCAACATTGGGTCACCTGTTTAACCAGAGTAAGGGACCTTTACATCAACAATGTTTTCGGTAGCTGTAGCCAACTCTCTGACAAATGTTGCCTCCCAGACTCTCATCTATTTCGCTTCTTCCAGGTCCGTAACTGGGTTAAACTAAATAACCCTTCCTTCCCCAATATCCCTCCGGATTCAATAATTGACTCAATTCTGGACACTCTAACAACCGAAAAAGGTCTGGTTTCAAGAATTTACAATTCCATCTCCCGTCTCACAGAAACATCTCTTGGTAAAATCAAACAAGATTGGGAAGAGGAACTAGTCCAAGCAATAGATGATGATGGCGCATTAGCGAAAGTGAACAATAGTACGTCCTGTTCCAGGCTCAATCTTATACAACTTAAAGTTGTCCACCGTATCTATTACACCAACTCCAAACTCTCCAAAATATACCCGAATGTCACGGATAATTGTAACAGATGTCACACGTCACCAGCAAACATGAATCATATGTGTTGGTCTTGTCCTCGCCTACAAAAAAAAAGGGAAAAATATAGACCGTACAAAAAACTCACCTGTTCACCGTGGCCTTTGACCCCTAACCCATCACAGTGCCCCTGCTTCCACTCCTACTGCTATTTATTTAATTTGTTACTTTATTATTTGCCCCTTTTGTTTTGTTTGTTTGTTTGTTCACCATGTAAAGCGGCCTTGGGTCCCTTGAAAGACGCTATACAAATGTAATCTATTATTATTATTATTATTATTATTATCATTATTAATACACTATTTGAAACCAATCAAAACCCCAGGATTTAAAATCTCTGGTTGAATATGGTTTATACGTAAGTAAGTAAGTAAAACTTTATTTATATAGCACCCTTCTCAACACGAATGTACAAAGTGCTTTACAGTACAGTACACAATTCACAGTACAACTAAAATGTAGAATAAAAAGGCATCAAATTATTATACAAAACTCTAAACAACTCTGTGCGACGATTAAAGGTATTCTGATTCTGATTAACAACACTGATTCCTCGAGGGATGTTACAGAAAAGAAAAGCCGTACTAAAGTGTCCCCCTATCCTCTTTCCTGTTCAGGTATCCCATCGTGTCGCCCAGAGATAACTGTGCTGGTAATCTGCCTCACATCCCCGGAGTCCGATCCTACGGCCTGAGACCAGCAAGCGAACAATTCGATGTGTTTTGTTATATGGAACGTCTGAAAGGTGAGGAGCTTTATACATTATATTTTGATATATTTTTTATATTTTATATTGTTGCATCGACTCAGTTGTCTTGTGTCTTATCTGTCAGAGAGAAACCATTATATATTTTATTTGTATTATCATACATTTGACCTCCTTGTGTCTATTAACCTGATCAAATGTTACATTTTGCTGCATGTACCTTTTAAAGTTCTTAACAAATAATCTGAAGGAAATTGTTTGTTTTTGTAAAGCACTTAGAGCTGCATGTGTTGTATGAAAAGTGCTTTATAAATAAAGCTTTATTATTATTCCAGGTGAGGTCTTCTTCACCAGTGACTACGACAGCTTCTCGTACGAGGAGGCTGTGCAGCACTGTCAGAAACTCAACACGACGCTGGCCACCACCGGACAGCTGTTTGCCGCCTGGAACCAGGGGCTGGATAAGTGCCGCCCGGGCTGGTTGTTGGACCGCAGCGTCCGCTTCCCCATCACAACCCCCAGGTCCCACTGTGGAGGAGGGCAGGTCGGCGTCCACATGATCTACGCCTACCCCAACCAGACAGGATTCCCCGATGAGCACTCACGCTACGACGCCTATTGTTTCAAAGGTAGGAAAGTGTAGATTTTAGAAGGAAAAGAATAGCTGAACGTTTCTTAACATCTCCATCATCTTCCAGACAAAATCACCAACAAAATCACCAACATTATATCCTGTATTATATTTGTTACTGGAAATTTCTAGTGTCTTAATTTCTCTTATGTACAACGCAAACATTTCCCAAGTTGTTACCAATAAAGTACTTATCTATCTATCTACCTATCTATCTATCTATCTATCTATCTATCTATCTATCTATCTATCTATCTACCTATCTATCTACCTATCTATCTATCTATCTATCTATCTATCTATCTACCTATCTATCTACCTATCTATCTATCTATCTATATGAATGCTATATCCTACATACTGAGCATTTCTTCCTTCATTTTGTCTTTTTCAGCTGAAATTCCAGTCGACCACGTTGACAATGAAACCAGTATTGATCTGATTGATTTCTTGACGGTGGATGTGATAAACAAGACAATAGTCAAAGTTGATCACTCGGTTCCCACAGGTGAGACAAATGCTTGAAATACTTTCTATGAAGTTCTTGTAATTACCTTGGCTTGGTTGTAAAGTTTTAATATTTCTAAAACATTGTCCAAAAGTACATTTTTCCAAAGTTTAGTAATATTGTAGTTAATAATTGAATCTCTTGTTTGTTGGATTTTAGTTGACACCACTGTACACTACAATGAAACTGAAACCAGTGTAAACATTACCGAAATAGAGGAGTTTGTCAACAAGACAACCGTCACAACTCAACAAGTTGCTCCCACTGGTAAGACAAAAAGTGCATTTTACCATGAAGCTAAACACAGCATTTGACTAGTAGTAGTATCTAATGAACTCTTGATTTGTTTTCATGTTTCCCCCAGTGAGTCCAATTTTACCTCCAATCCCTGTTGATGTGTCCGGCTCTGGATCAGCTGAACATTCAACCAGCGGAGAGATCCCAGAGGAGTCCATCACCTCGGGGTCCAGTGGTGATTCCTCCGGTTCGGGACAGGTCCTCTTCAGCGGACGCCCTGACGTCTTCTCCGGGGGTGAGTCCACCTCTGGAGGGCCGCAGGAGGCAGAAGGAGGAAGCGCCGTGTTCGTCTCATCCGGAGAAGGTGGTAGTCAATCTGGATCTGGATCTGAGGAAGGGTTCGACGGACAGCACTCTGGCTTCAAGTCATCCGGATCAGGTTTTACCAGCGGAAGTGGGGACATTAGTGGTAGCAGTGGAGACTCAATGATCATCATGGTGGACGGGAATATGAAGGAGGTGTGGCCAACTCCCCCAAGACCCACTGAGCAGGAGTGGGGCCAGGGAGGCATTGACAGCAGTGGGGTTAACTTGGAGTCGAGCGCCTCTGGATCTGGAAGTATGTCCGGGTCAGGCTCCGGTGGAATTTCTGGCATCTCATTCGTCGACCAGGGTGGCGTCGACCTGACAGTCCAGCCGTCCGGTGAGCAGGAGGTGTCTGGATATCGTCCGTTTGGATCCGGGTTCCACAGCGGCTTTACATCCGGTGTCTCAGGCAGCGGCTCCGGCTCCGAGGACTTTATCCAGCATCGAGGGGACGTCATCTACCTCACGGACAACAACATGATGGAAGTGACCGAAGCGCCACAGATACGCCACCCAGAGCATGGCCGAGGAGTGGTGGAGATCAGCGGGCAAGGCAGTGGGTCAGGGAGCCATCATGAGTTCAGTGGCACCTTCGACATTAACATGCATCACTCCGGAAGTGGAGTCCTTCATGAATTATCTTCTCAGACTACAATCTATGAGGAAACTACCAGAACCGACCAATCAGGACACGAGGAAGAGGATCAGGAAAGACAGGCAGAACCTACAGTTTATGCCGTGACTCCAGACGCAGCCTACACCAGCCCTACCACAGCACCGTCGGTGTCCTACGCAACTCCTTCTGTCATGGAGCAGCCTGAAGTAGTGGAAGGTATGTGTCTTTAGATCAAACTGTTTTACTAGGCCAACAAATCTGCCAAATGCATGTTCAACATTTTGGGAAATACACATATTTGTCCACCCAAAAGCCAGGTGTCCATCCATTTGGACCTCAGCTTCAGGCACTAATGCCAGCCGTCCCATTGCATCTCCCACAACATCGCAAAACATTTTGATAAACTGACTATATTTTCTCACCACTGATGAGTTAGAACTACAAAATCGGAGACTTAACTTTGAACTTTTTCAACCTCGTCAGACCCCTGTGATCCAAACCCCTGCGGTTCAGGGTCCTGCTCGGTGCAGGAGGAGCTCGCCGTGTGTCAGTGTCCGACTGGTTTCTCTGGGGTAGACTGCTCGACACGTGAGTCACCAAACTACCGTAACAAACAACATATTGTTTCAAATGCCATTTAGCTAAAAAGAAAACCAATAAAGACATTTCATATTTTCTGCTTCTGACCAAATATGTTGTGTGGTGTGTGTGTGTATAGCTGTGCAGGGCTGTGCAGAGGGCTGGCTGGAGTTCAAGGGCAGCTGTTACCTCCACTTTGCTGAGAGAGACACCTGGTCTGAGGCCGAGCAGCGCTGCCAGGAGGTCAACGCCCACCTGGTCAGCATCGGCTCCCAGGACGAGCAGCAGTTTGTCAACTGTGAGTATCTGTGAGCGTGTGTCGGTGTGGGTCTGTGCATCTGTGAATGTGAGTGTGTATCTGTGTGTATCTGTGTGTGTCTGTGCGTGCATCTGTGAGTGTGAGTGTGTGTGTGTGTCTGTGTCTGTGTGTGCATGTGTGCATCTGTGAGTGTGAGTGTGTGTGTGTGTCTGTGTCTGTGTGTGCATGTGTGCATCTGTGAGTGTGTGTCTGTATGTTCATGCGTGCATCTGTGAGTGTGAGTGTGTGTCTGTGTGTGCATGTGTGCATCTGTGAGTGTGAGTGTGAGTGTGTGTCTGTGTCTGTGTGTGCATCTGTGAGTGTGTGTCTGTGTGTGCATGCGTGCATCTGTGAGTGTGTGTCTGTGTGTGCATGTGTGCATCTGTGAGTGTGTGTCTGTGTGTGCATGCGTGCATCTGTGAGTGTGAGTGTGTGTCTGTGTCTGTGTGTGCATGTGTGCATCTGTGAGTGTGTGTCTGTGTGTGCATGTGTGCATCTGTGAGTGTGTGTCTGTGTGTGCATGCGTGCATCTGTGAGTGTGAGTGTGTGTCTGTGTGTGCATGTGTGCATCTGTGAGTGTGAGTGTGAGTGTGAGTGTGTGTCTGTATGTGCATGTGTGCATCTGTGAGTGTGTGTCTGTGTGTGCATGCGTGCATCTGTGAGTGTGAGTGTGTGTCTGTGTGTGCATGCGTGCATCTGTGAGTGTGAGTGTGTGTCTGTGTGTGCATGTGTGCATCTGTGAGTGTGTGTCTGTGTCTAGCTGTTTGCAGGGCAATCTTTGGCATTTGAGCATGTGCAAACTCAAGCCATATGGATTTAAGTGTTTTTTTGGGATCTGGAAACTATATATATTAAATCATTCTAAAGGAAATATCTTAAATATCTAATACAATAGATTAGTTACAGGCGGGGCTGTATTAAGAAAGCTATAAATGCTACACAAGTTGGTTTACAAGTGGGAAGCCATTGAATGATCATGTCCCTCTTTTACTCAATGTAACAAGAACTACTGTACTGGCGAATGAGCCCTAAACAAATAAATTATTAGAGAGATTATCTGAGAGTAAAGGGTTAGAAAAGATGCAAAAAAGATGAGAGATGGTCGTGATATTTCACACTGCTTTAAGAGGGACTTGAAACTATGTAATCATCAATGCATCCATCTGTTCCCACACATGCTAATCCACACCCCAGGTATGTACCCCTACTTTGAGGGAGGACTTGTAAAAGTGGTTTAAAAAGCTTAAATCTGTTTTTTTTTATTTTTGCAATGCAGCCAATGGCCAGGACTACCAGTGGATTGGACTGAACGACAAAGACGTGCAGAATCAGTTCCGCTGGACAGACGGCAGTCCTCTGGTGGGTCTGGTTTCTTTACAGCTATAAGTTATTCATCTTTGTTTACTGTATGTATCCATTAATCGTCTATGTTCCCTTAATAGTCTTTTGAGAACTGGAGGCCCAACCAGCCAGATAACTACTTCAACTCTGAGGAGGACTGTGTGGTGATGATCTGGCACGAGGGCGGACAGTGGAACGACGTGCCCTGCAACTACCACCTCCCCTTCACCTGCAAGACTGGACCTGGTAGGCTCACTGGGTTTAAATATGTATCAGGCCAGGAAGTTACTTTCTAGAAGGAACATTTGTTCAGGATGTGGAGCAGTTTGATTGCTAAATGATGAACGACCAGCCTGGACCAAGACAAGCTTCTACTACTACTAGTTGCCTTAAAGGGGACCTATTATGCAAAATCCACTTCTTCATGTCTTCTCTACATCAACACATGTCCCCTCTGTGTAAAGAGACTCTGAAAGTTTCAGGAACAAAGATTCTCTCTCTTTTTGTCCTGATCCATTTATATAAAAACCTGTCTGAAAATGAGCTGATCAGATTTTGGCCACTTTATGATGTCATAACGATGTTTTGTCTTGTGTAACCATTAGCCAATCACCAACCAAGGTAACCCCCCCCCCCCACCTAATCACCTGAATCTCTTCCTAGAGCACTATTGTGTTCTTTGTAACCAAATATCTCTCAGAGGGGCGTGGGGAGGGGCTCCTTATTTTCATCTAAAGTAACAGACAGAGAATCAGCACTTTGGAAACAGGGCTGAAACAGAGGGGATTATGGGTAATGCTGCAATGATCTGTTTGGTGTTTGGAGCCGAACACTTCAGAGACATGTTTTGTATATATCTGAGACCTATAATGTATTGATGAAAAACAGTATAATAGGGGACCTTTAATAACCTTTTCTCTGTCTTGTTTCCCAGCCATGTGTGGATCCCCTCCTGAGGTGGAGCACAGCCGGCCGATGGGCAGCGGCAGAGAGCGATACCCCGTCGACTCTATAGTCCGCTACCAGTGTGACGCCGGCTACACACAGCGCCACCTGCCCGTCATCCGCTGCCTGCCCGACGGACAGTGGGAGCAGCCTCAAGTGGAATGTACAGAAGGTGAGAAATACTGTCATATGTGTCTCAAAACAATAACAAGCAAGTAGCTTACTCGCTAGGGGGCTAAGTAGGAAAACCAAAAACAACTTTTTTTTTTGGCACAAAAGTCCTTCTACATGTTGAGTTTGAAAGTAAATGTTTTTATATATAGGATCCATCAGATCCGAGATAAATGTGTAGTCTCTCAAGATGAATACATACTAGTGTGTTGAGGTGTTACAGCAAACCTTCAAAGCCTAAGCCTTGACCATTACTCTGCCAATTCTGATTATTATGTTATTATTCATCATCCAAATCAAAATGTCATGCGGTGCTTTAAACGCAACAAGTCCCTAGGTTACTTAAACTTTTTTGGTTACTTAGTGCATGTTTTTAAACCAGTTTATTCATGATAAAGAAATATAGACTAGATGGAGGACCTGGACTATTTTGAGGAGATTTACACCTTGAAAAGCTTTTGAAATACAGTACATCTCCTGTTGAGCTAATATTCAACATTCAACAGTCTTGAACATAGATCCTTCAGCCACACTACTCTCTTCCTGGTCCATTCAAGGTTCAAGGTTCAAGGCTTTTATTAGTCATACGTACACAGCTACAGTGTAGTTATGTCGATGAAAATCTTAGGTCACAAGCTTCTCCCACGGTGCAACACAATAAAACAGAAAAACAGAAAAAATAGTGCAAGTAAATACAAACAAAAATAGTAAAGTAGTGAAATAGTGCAATAAAAGTGATTGGAATATGATATATTAGATCAATAATTCATTAATTCATCTGTTGGCCCCTCATGTTTACCTGATGTTAACAGTTTGGTTACCTTTTCTCCCGCAGCCGGCGCCAACAGCAACAGGCTACACAAAAGATCCCTCAGGAGGAGAAGTAAAGGCGTCAGGAGCCAATAGGAACAGAGGAAGCTGCTCTGAGCATGAGTAAAAAGGACATACAACAGAGAGCCACAAAGGACCCCCCCCCCCCCTCTTGTAAAGAAGCATGGACACCAATGCAAATGCCCGACCAAAAAGATAACATTCCCCACCGTGTACACTACACACTAAAGCACATTTAGACAGTGGTAGTGTAATTGTTTTGGATCTTTGAGTGTCACCCTGCACCTTCTGAAGGCGGTTTCTATAGGTATTTATACTGTCTGATTTATAGCTAGTAATTGGAAGCATTATCTCAATGCACATTCTGACATTTCCTGCAATCATTTGCCAGCACTGCACACAGAGTTAAGGTAGAGTGACATGAGAGGTTTTAGAGTGACACGCAAAGTCCAAAACAACCAATTAAAAGAAGTGTTTTCGATTGCAGCTGGATTCTCTGAAGTCAAACACATAGACTTTTGCTATGTTTTTAGGGTCTTTTTCTAGATCTGTGTTTCGTAGTCATTTTTATATCTTTTATTTGATCTTTAAGGACTACATGTTCTTCAGACTGGTGAAATACTGTTTTATGTTTTTTTTTTACATAATAGGCGAATACAGTGACCCCTTAAAATACAGCCATAAGCTCTTGTTAACAACATAGAGAACTGTGAAGGTGAAGTTTATTTGTATTTGATTTATCAGAGCCTTGACGCTTACAATATTGCATAACATCCCAAATATGAGTACAAGCAAGGGCAAGAGATGATGCCCCTGTGCAACAACACAACCGCAGTATCAGCAATACTGACATGATTGTGCTGTTCCAACTGATGATGAATATAGAAATCAAGACGTAAATAAAGTCAAACCTGGATTGAAATAATCAGCACTCATGCACTTTTAGGAGTCTTCAGTCACTTCTGTGCTAATCATTTGAATCCAGTGCACCTTAAACATATCCTCATCTGTAGCTGACACATGGCAAGGAAACTGAATAAAAGTGAGATCTACAGTATGACACTGAATTGGTTGCTTTTGGCAAAAGATGTCCTCCCAATTGTTTGCAGGTTTACATTTGCCATTTCTCCAGAGCAATCGATGTCAGCACCGTCAGGTCATGCTTTTATGAGATTCAGTGTTTGCTGAATGAAGTTTCTCACTGTAAATACTCTCTTTACAATTCTCTGAACAGCAGGATCTGTCAATGACCTACACAGAGCAGACAATTTAATTGTTTAGTTCATCATCAATCCGTTTGTTGCTTTGTTAGTTTAAATAGCTGTTAAGTTGCAGCTATGAGTTATTTATCAAGCAGGAATGACTTTTGATTTTGACAAACAGCGTATGAAGACACAAAATGATTTTTCGAATAAAGACATCTTTGTGGAAGTTCCTTGCTGTGTTTCATGCAGATCTATCAGCAGAAATGTACTTCTTAAAACTTGAGGAATTACACCATTTTAGGGAAAATAAGCTGTGAAAACAGTAGAAATTATATTAAAAATTAAATTAAAAAGAGAGGGTTGAGATGGAGGTTTTAAAATGATGACCATGACCTTTAAAAGGCCAGGATTCAAACTCTTAAACAGCAACCACACACACATGGACGCACACACACACACTCACAATTGAGTATACACACTACAAAATATGAAAGTAGAGGACTTTGCGTGAAGACGCCACAAAGGTACACCTAGCTGGCTCAAAGTAAATAAAGTCGATCTGGATATCAATTACAGAGTGTATGCTCATGGAGGATAACATCAGTGAGTCTTTATCAGTTTTTAGATTTTTCATCAAATCTTTAGACGAGTAAACCAAAATGTGTGTAACGTGGCACACAGACACGTCTGTTGTGTTCAGATCCCGAATCCTGATGTGAACATACTGTACTGTGCTGTACCAAATAAAACTTGGAATCATCTCTCTGTGAAGTTATTGGCCTAGTGTGCAAAACCATCACTTATTATCCAGGAGTCAAAACTGTGTTTCATTCATGAAAATCACACACAGAGGTTTTCTGTCATTTTGTAGAAACACCATCTTTCCCCAGAGCTGTTTGAATTTGAGGTGGACTCTCCGAGCCAAAGGAACAAACCTGGCATTTAGTTTGTTTTCACCTTCCTGTGGAACCCAACCGTGAAAAACTCACAGTAAATAGCTCCTTCTTCTTCTACAGCGCCTACCTTCATCCCATCAGTCGCCTCACACAGATCTTCTCTGTAGCCCTGTATGTATACAAGTGCATGTGCGGTTGCACGTTTGCACAGTCACACTGTATGTGTGTGTGTGTACATTAATCTGATGTGTGCGTGTAGGCATGTAATCCCTGTGTGTTTATGTGTGTGTGTTCAAGTGTAAATAGGACGTGTTTATGAAAAACTAGCTGACCATATAATCACTGGGACTACTGTTCACACCGGGATGCAGGAGGGCGTAGTAACGCTTCGACCCCACTCATCTAAAAGTGCATCTCGCGCCCAGACAGAGAGACGCTGTTTACATACAGTGGCTGTTTTGTACGAGTCAGGTACCCATCTCACCTCTCTACCCTGGCATTCCTGTTTGCACTGTGAGTGAAACGGTATCACACCTTGAGAGCCACACCAACCAGGGGTGGTTCATACAAATCACTGAAAACATCAGTGTTTCATAAATCCAGCAAATTCAAAGCATAACAAAAATCTAAACATGTTATTAATTTGAGAACCGATAATCAGTATTTAGCCACCAAGTGACAACCTTTTCAATTCTAATAAAGTAAAGTCATTAAGTCTTAAACACGCATTATCATTAATGGCCAGCAGGGGGCGAAAAATTAATTAGCTTGTATAAAAGTCTATGAGAAATAAATGTATCACTTTTTTATTACTTTCTTAGACATGTTCCTAATGACTTTATGGTCTAAATTGCTAGTTTAAAATGTTCTCCTGATAGTCATTCAGTAAATGATGGTCCCATTAAAAAGAAAACAGACACAAAAGTGGCGTTGTTCAGCATTTGTTAGTTATAAAATACATGGTTCTTCCTTAGGGTTAGGTAATAGCTTAATTTTGAGTGTGGTTCTTGCCATCCAATCGCCCCCCCCCCCCCCCCCCCCCCCCCCCCCCCCCCCCCCCCCCCCCCAAAAAAACACTTAACTTAACGGATAGACCTTGCTTACTAAGCTAGCTAGCTGGTGACTTTGATAAGCTAATGGCTAAGCCTGCTAGCATGTTAACAAGGTATTATGCCAACCTGCTAGCCTTAGCATGCATACATTCAAACTTAGCTTGATAACTGTAGGTTAACAAACGTTTGACTCACCCAAAGCAGCAAGACTGGACTCTGTTTCACCCATGCACCGTACCAAGGCTTTGAAGTGGATTTCGAGCCTTCAAAACCATCACATGGTCCAAAACAGCAGTAAAAGAAAAGAGATTGTCTGCTCATGGTGAAACCCATCCTCTTCAGCTGTTATCATGGTGTCTCCAGGGGTTTAGCATCAGTGGCTAATCAGTCCTGTGAGACATCAGTGCCGATCCTCCACTCTCTAACAACACTCCTGCTAATCTACCAAACTATTTCTTATACTATATACTATATTCTCTAATAGTTGTACTTGCACGGACGGATTACTAAAATATCTACAGGGCACATCCCCAGGGGACCAAAGTGTTGGGACGCATAATTACTACAAAAAGCGGTAAAACTATTATGAAACACAAACGGATCAAAGGACCACAAAGAGACACGAAACTACACATTTTCAGTCTGCAATAACTTTGATGTATGAAATTATATTTTTCCTAAATCACCCAATATTATAACCAATGCACTTTATATAAAGACATCTTTACAGTAGTCTTTTTATTAATTTGTAGAAAACAGTACAAATGCATATACATATACAATGAAACACAAAACCATTAGATACATAAGTATTTGATGAAACACTGCTTCTTCTTCCACAAAGGATGTAAACAAGGTAAGGTAGTTTAAACATAACAACAATACAGATACTTACTCTTAAATTCTGGTTTCTCCATCACAGAGCACTACTCTTAATCGCCCAGAAAAATGCTAAAAGAGATGCATTACACTTCTCTAATGAGATACAAAGACATACAAAGACTCTAGTATATTTCACAGTGTTAGAAAGTCAAAAAGAGTTACCTAGAGTAAATGAGAGTACAATCATGGACCAGCTGGAAAGATCTGAGAGGAAAACACTCTTCACTACCTCATCCAACAAGGTGCTTTTTAGCAAGGCACTTACCCAAAAGTTGCCCGAAACCCACCGACACCTCTGAGATGAACTGGAACACAGACAGTGAGCCTTATTGCCCAATATCAACCTATAAAATAGGGTTTAAAAAATATTGTAGCTGTATAAGCAGCATGCTAATGCCCATGGTTTTGTATTGAGACGTGGGTGTAATGTTCTTGTTCTGGCCATATAGCCTACAGAGACATTTGTTTAAGTACAAGTGGCATCCCATGATAAATGTACACGTTTAAACAGAGGTTGTCGGTAGTAAAGTTCAATACGAATACAGTCTTACGGAGGTGGAGTGTGACTAACCCAGACTGAAATAGCTCAGAAATGAAGAAACTGCTAATTTGTTCCCAGGCTATAGCTAATGCTAACCTCACAAACCCAGTTTTGAACCAATGCGCTGTTTGTCTTATTTTGAGCCGAAGCATCTACCGATAACAGTAGACGGCAAATTTCAGGCTCAGAGGGGGGAACCCAAAACTACGCACCCCTGGTTCTGGTGGGCCGCAGTTAGCTCGAGCCTTTGTGATGGGATAACGGACGCTCCCGTCAGCCAACCATCCGGCGTCACAGCGGTCCAACCCCATCAGCCTCCAGGCGGCGTACATCTGGCCCACTTTGGCTATTTGACTTCCATCACTGGCACAAGCCTGGACCGCTTCTGTGAAGTTGAGCTTGGTGTGGTGCTTTAAGAAGTACACAGTCCCTAAATCAGAAGAGAATCATAGGTGAAGAGATTCAACTTGATGTATTTGGGTTTGAAGATGCAGTATGTAATGCCTAGGAGTAGACACTAAATCTAAATATATCAGTTATATAAGAAGGCCTAGTAGGTTGAACTAGCGCGTGCTAGCCATCTTTGTGTTTCCTGTGACAGAAACCGGGAGCTGAACAGTTCATGTAAGCTGTATTTAACGAACTAAATCTGACTCTACAGAAACTGAAAAACAACCTACACTTTCGCCTTATCCTGTCTGCCACCATTAGACCACATGACATAAGGAAAAGGGGCAAAGGAAATTGGAGATGGACCTTCAGTTAGCGTCTACAGCAGCTCAATCTCAGCCAAACACAAACCCTAGCGCCAGTTTTGTGTTACCCGAATACGAGGCAAAACCAAAACCACCAGCCAAAGGCGTTTTTGTTTCTGCCTCATTGGATTGAATCCGATAAAAAAACATTGCAAATGTAAACTGACCCTGTTCTTTCAACATGAAATTTGACATGGCCTCGGATGGCTCTACTTCTCTGGTCTTTCGAATATTTTCTTTGATTGTTGTTTCATTCTTTAATAAGTAGAAACTGGACACTAGTGACTCACTGTTGCATCTCGAGGAGGAAGTGGCATTACAAGAAAGAATGGGCCTAACTGTTCATTAAGTAAGTCAGTAAGTAGATATCTATGGCCATATCTTGCACCTTTTGAAACGTTCCCAATCAGTCATACTGACCCTTGACAGAGGCGGAGAAGCAGAAGGCGTCGTAGCGGTGGAGGAGGCGATGTCGTTGTCCATAGCTGCGCAGACCAGGAGCTAAGTCATCTCCACCGCATCCGTCACGAGGGGCTGTGATTGGATACTGCACTGTGCCGTCAGCCAACCAGCCGGCGTTACACCAGTCCAGCCCCTCATCCCACGCCGTGAAGAGCTGCTCAAATGTAGCCAGCGTGGCCTCCTGATCCTTGCACGCCTGTTTGGCCTCAAAGAAGTTAAAAAGGTAGCGTCCTTTCTGAGAGAAGTAGGGGAACACCACACCTACAGAGGGAGGAGAGGTTAGAAATGACCTTTTATGGTGATACACAGACATAGACATAGACATGGTGGTAAGATACTGTCCCATTAAGAAAGAGCAATGATTATGAATGAATAGGAGTTTGGCAAGTATGATTGAAAGGTGCACCAGTTGAATTTGACTCTGTCTGTTTCACTTCTGTCAAAAAGGCCAGCCCCTCTCCTCTTGGCGAAGTAGTGTCCTCGCAGCGGGGACTATGATGGAAGGACCACATATTCCCCTAAGCTAAGATTTTGATTTGTCTTTTTGGAGGACATGACATGCACACACTCTGCTCACCCCTCATCTCCAGTTCACACTCACACACTCTGCTCACCCCTCATCTCCAGGTCCACCGTCACACTCTCGTCCTCCAGGCCATCGATCACCTCACACCGGTATCTCCCCGTGTCATTGAGCTGCAGCCCGTTGATCACCAGGGACATGTCGCCCGGGGCCGAGCGTCGCAGGCGGACCCTTCCCTTAAAGCTGCCGTAGCTGCGGTGACGGTTGCCCATGGCCACCATGACCTCCGTTTCCATGGCGAGGGCTTGCAGGGACACGGGTGCACTGACGGTGTTGGCGGGAAGCCACGACCATTTGACCCGAGTCCTGCGAGGCGCGGAGGGCTCGGGCTCGTAGTGGAAGTGGCAGGGCAGCGTGACACTGCTGCCCCTGGAGGCCGACACCGAGATCTCAGGGGACTCCACCAGGAGGCGCACCCCGTTAAAGTAGACTAGAGAAGACACAAGAACAGAAATATTAAAGGTCACCTATTATGCAAAATCCACTTTATCATGTCTCTTCTACATCAACATGTGTCCCCTCTGTGTAAAGAGACTCTGAAAGTTTCAGGAACAAAGATTCTCTCTCTTTTTGTCCTGATCCATTTATAT